TTCATCATATTATGGTAGAAATTCACGGGTGCCTGATTTTTATTAAAAGCACAGGTCCCTGTGATTTCTGCTTTGTACCGTAGGAAACGTGGATGAAATTGCAGAATGTAATAAAAAAATGCTTTATTTATGTGGAATGTCAATGAATTTTGACTAATATTGGATGAATTAAAAGAAGAATATATACAAAACATATAATATATACACGGGCGAAGCAGTGGCGCAGTAGGTAGTGCTGTCGCCTCACATTTATACTGTCGGCTGGCGCTCAGTATCTGCGCACCTCGTGAAACGGACCAGGGTTTTATGCTTGCCATTAAGATATTTGTTTAAATGACAAGAGGGGGTTCAAAAGAGACCACCCAAAAAATCAGATAAATAAACAGAAAACTATTTCATATCATTAATATCGTTTATGTATTTTTTAAAATTATTTTTATCATTTATAATTTTATAATTTTTTTTTATTTGGGGGATTTTAAAGACTTTTATAATCATTAAAAAACTGTAATCAAACTTTATTGCATCACTTGCTTTTGTTCATATTCCGGACAGTTCTGTCTATATATTAATGAAAACAAAGGGGTCACCAATCTTATTCCTGGAGGTCCTGTGCCCTGCAGGGTTTAGCTCCAATTTGCCTCAACACATCTGCAGGGGTGTTTCAAGTATACCTAGCAAGACCTAGATTAGTTTGTTCAGGTGTGTTTGATTAGGGTTGGAGCTAGTACACCTACTAAAAATACTGATGTTTTTATTTTTATCTATTTTTTTTTTAGCCTACTCCATAATTCACACATTAATGTCTGGCTAGTGTCCTGTATTTAGATCCTAAAAAGGCAATAACAGTACAACATTTGTGTCCATTATCACCAATAAAGTCCAGGAAAATTGGGTAGTATGTTGTAAATGTTGTTCAATTATTCTTTTTCAGTAATCAAAGAAATAGTTTGTTCCTCAATTAAATTTTTGTAACTATTAAATTCATTTAAATTTAAAATGAATGGTGAAAAAAACATATTTCTGTAATTGTGTACTAAAACCACCTGGGTCTCCACTTTTTGCCGTGGCCTCTTTTGGCTTTTATAAACTTATCCCTTAGGTTTTTCCAAACTTTTCCAAATCTTTGAAACTTTTTTATAATCTGCTAATATGCTAGCATTTTTGGCTATATCACCGACTTGTAAATTAAATTTTTTAGTAAATCATGGCAAAATCGCCCATAACTCAAATTTTGTACATTCTTATCATAAGTTAACTTAGCCTAGTGGTTAAGTGAATCAACCTGAGTTTGATTTCCAGCCTTTGTCGATGCGTCGTTGCATTCTCTACTCACCATGATTTTCTGTCAATACTCCCCATTGTCCTATTAAAATAAAAAATAATAATAATAAAAATAAATGAGTTATTTAATTAACTTACTAATTTCTGAGTCTCATAATTTGCATTATACCCCCATGTGTCTGCATTACAGCACAATAATACCTTTACTAACAATAATTATGACTGTAGCTGCAACTGTTTCTCTCTCGCTAAAACAACTGCGGAAATTAAATAAATCCCAAATCGACACCTCTTCAGTCTGTGTGTGTGTGTGTGTGTGTGTGTAATGTGATTGCCAGAAGCACGAAAAAGAAATAAGCACCACAGCTGGCCGATGTGCTGTTCTGTCAGGAAGCCTGTGGAGAGGCCCTTAGCAACTCTCTATCTCTCTCGCTCTCTCTCTCTCACTCACTCACTCATCTTGTCCTCCAGCTTCTCTTATGAAAGCTACACCATATCTGGACAGGCCCTCAAAATCAGTCTAATTGTGTCATGCTGCAATTAGCAGCAAATAAAAAAAGATGCAAAATCTGCAGTTGAATCAAACAACATACCCGTCGATCTTTATTTCTTTCATCAGCCACCAATCTGTGCCAACCGCGTCCTAATCATGCGCTAAATAACATCCATTGCATTTTAATCCATTACGTCTGCGAGTGTTGCTTGCTATTTTCAAAGTTTTCTCTTCAGAAATTGACTTCAGACTCTGGGTAGGACGTGGAAGTTCTCTTCCATCCTCTCGTCGTCCGTTACCTCTGTGAGAGTCATCGCTTCTTCACTTTAAATAAATACAGATTATTCATCTATCATGTCCTTTCCAGGGTTGTCTCTCTATATATGTACGTGCGTGTGCGTGTGTGTGTGTGTGTGTGTGTGTGTGTGTGTGTGTGTGTGTGTGTGTGTGTGTGTGTGTGTGTGTGTGTGTGTGTGTGTGTGTGTGTGTGTAGTTTTTCATTAGCTCCCCTATGAGTCCCTTCCCCGCACAAGGTGATCTGTTATTGCCTGTCTAACCCTGGGGTGCCGTGATGGATGTCACTTTGTGAATTATTTCTCACTGAGCTAAACCTTTATTCAGTTCTCTGCTTAGAGTGCCTCATGAGTGACCCTTATCTGTTGTCTTTAGATGCTTGTGGGATGTTCTTTGAAGAGATTATTTTGGCTTGGGGTATAGTGATGTGCTGCTGTTGGACACTGAAAACTTTGAAGAAGAATGTTGTGATGTCATTTTTATGACATTTTTGTAGATATGAAATGCCCAGTCCACTGAGATTGTTTTTGTACAATTATTTTATTTTTATTATTTTTGTTTTATTTGATCTTATTTTTTTCATTTTAATTTATTTTTTATTTTTTTATTTTATTTTATTTTTCTATTTTTTATTTTTATTATATCTTTAATTTATTTAGATTTATTTTAATTATTTGATTTTTTGTTAAAATATTTATTTTGTATTTTTAGTCATTATTTTTAATTATATTTTAATGTTTATTTGTTTTTGTGTAGTCGATTGTTTATTTTTTCCTTGTTTCTTTCTCTTGTTTCGGTTTTTGTTTGTTGTTTTAGTTTTCTGTTGAATAAAAAACATTTAATATTTCCTATTTTTTGTTTACAAGTATCATTATTATTATTAGAATTTGTAAACATAAAAAGCATAAAATAGTTCTCTGGTTAGTGTTTTATATACTATAATATCCTTATAATAATAATAAAGGACATATTAGAAAAAAATACCTTTAAAATTAATTATTATATTATTAACCTTTCAAAATAACACTTAATTTAATTGAATGTAATATCAATTTATTTTGGCCATTGTCAAATTACATTTTAATAATCATTAATTCGTTCATTTTCTTTTTGCCTTATTCCCTTTATTAATCCATGGCCGCCACAGCCAACTTATCCAGCACGTTTTTACTCAGCGGATGCCCTTCCAGCCGCAACCCATCTCCGGGAAACATCCACACACACACACACTCATTCACACACATACACTTAGGTCAATTTAGCTTACCCAATTCACCTGTACTGCATGTCTTTGGACTGTGGGGAAAACCGGAGCACCCGGAGGAAACCCATGCGAACGCAGGGAGAACATGCAAACTCCACACAGAAACGCCAATTGACCCAGCTGAGGCTCGAACCAGTGACCTTCTTGCTGTGAGGTGCACTACCAACTGCCCCGCTGCGTCACCCATTTTAATAATAATAATAATAATAATATATATATATATATATATATATATATATATATATATATATATATATATATATATATATATATATATATATATATATATATATATATATATATATATATATATATATATATATATATATATATATATATATATATATATATATATATATATGTGTGTGTGTGTGTGTGTGTGTGTGTGTGTGTGTGTGTGTATATATTATAGGTTATATTTAAAAACATGTTCTTACTTCTTTAGAGTGGCCACTCATGGCAGTAATGCGCTTTTTCAAAATTTGAACCAAGCTACAGATGTTGCCATTAAATACATGTTAGTGCTGCAATTTGTCTTACACACAACCACTTTTCCATTATCGGACCAGTGCAAGCAAACGCCATTGTTAGCCAAGGTCACAAGTTCCATCATTATAATAAACAGATATTGGGGGGGGGGGGGGGGGAGACAAAGCAACTGGACAGTTTACAATATTCTATAAAACACCTTATAGGCAAGGGGTCTTTGTTATGTTGCTTTAGATCACCCGTATGTTTTGTTTTTAAATTTAAAGACTTTGCATAAAATAATAAAGTTTTAATTTAATAATTGACACCTGTTCTGTGTCATCCTTGATGTTTCAATAGCACATAATAATCTTTACTCCACATGTCTGAGCTCTGCCTACAAAAAAACTGGCTCCATTCTGTTGCTCGATTTTTGTTACTCAGGGAAGTTCTGTGAAAAAGAAAATCACCTCGCCTTTCAGCAGTGATGAATACTTGACACTGTTTAAGATAGGAAATAGCCTCATGGAAGCACTTTAACAGCACCTACCATGTCAGTGCTGACTTGGCAGGCAAGAAACGAAATTTTTTTCTGATTTCTGATGAGTCCTCAATTCCTTTAGCATCACCAGAAAAAAGGGCTCATACAACAACATCCGCTTATTGTCATTTAGTTGCCTTTAAAAACAGACCTGGATCTTTATTCACAGACCTTATGCCGGTCATGAAGGCAGGAGTTCAGCAGTTCCCTGCTCTCCTCATGTGGTTCTGACTCCATTATGATTTAGTATCGAATGATGCAAGTAACTTTTCTGTACTTTTCACCCATGTTTGAATGAGAATAGCCCTCTTTGACTCTGATTTCTAAAGCAACTCTTACAGCTGCCAAACCACAAGATCTAGGCTTCAGCAATGCATTATTATAGCCAGAGGTTATGCTGCAAATAATCATTATCTGTCACTTTGACTGACTGCGTTGTAGATTTTCCATCATTCTCTATTTATAACTGTCAGTAAAGCATTGTATTGTTTGGTCTTTTTATGTAACATTAATATTACAAGATCCGTCTTATGTGTTTTGATTCTTTTTCTTGATTCTGTCTGTTCATTGCTTGAAGTTGAGTGATAAAGGTTGAATGCTCCATATGCTGCTTTGCTTGTGACTGTCTCTCACCTAAGTCGGTCTGTCTCTTCCAGGAGCCCAAGGCCAGGTCCCCTTAGTCCAGAACATGACTGTGACAGAAGGAGGGACAGCCAACTTGACCTGCCGTGTGGAACACAATGACAACACCTCCCTCCAGTGGTCGAACCCTGCACAACAGACACTCTTCTTTGGGGACAAGAAAGGTGAGGGAGTGAGTGAGTGATGGCCACTGAACTCACAGGGATTCATATCTTTGTCTTGGGTGTTATCAGGTGGATAAGGGACCTCAGCTAAATGAGATTTTTAATGGAGGAACGTTAAGGGTTTGTTGTTGTTGTTTTTTGCTGGTGCTCAGATGGATTGCGGTGGCAGATTACTAGCAGCTTTGATTTGCAGTATGAACTGTGTGACTTCTGGTCTAATACATAGTGAGGTGTTATTTAAAAGTTTCATGAAATTAAAATAACGTTTATTAGATGTAACATCAGTATGTTAGTTTTAAGAATGTTTATAAGCTAGTGTGCTCCGAAATTTGCATTCATAAGGTATGAACCTGATATAAAGACAAATGGATCTACATGTGTGCTTATACACTTTTATAACCTACATGGATCAATGTTTTTTTTTTTCACGTTATCTCATTCAGTTTCTCATCAAATCTTGACCATTCAAGTGCTCTCTAATATCTGACATGTCCCGCCCCGTTCTTCTCATTTGTTTTTCATTTGATGTACTTGAGCTCAATCACTTTAATTGGCTGAGCGGTGATAAAAAACAAATGCTATTGGCTGTTTGTTTTTTTAAAACAAAAGTCTCACTCTGTCTTCATATTTCAATTGAGATTACAATTTAGTATAAAAATGCACATTTCAAGGCACTTCTTGGGCATTTAAGGCATCATAGGTGCACAAAGCTTCATTAATCATATTAATTAATTAATTATATTAATCAGCCTTATTTTGATCCATAAAACAGCATGAGTTTTATCTGTTGAAAAAAAAGAGATGTTTTTAAGAATGTTCGTGTCCATACAGTTGATGGTAACCACTGACATGCATAGTATTTTTTTTTTTTTTGAATATGAATGAAATTCAAAATGGAAAACAAAAGATGGGTCCCACACCGCATACTTATGCACTATTCTATGCCATTTTGTAGTATAAATAGTGTAAGTAGTGTGTTTACACTGAAAACTCTGATGATGCGCTCATTTAACTGGTAAAATAGTGTAGAATGATGGACACTTCACACACTCAATGACTGCATCTTTGCTCACTTAGCTGAAGGGGCGGATTTCAAAGAATGATTTCAAGATGATGATTGAGCTACAAATAAATAAATTAATTAATCATTAAAAAAACTGTATGTATTTAGTTACAAAATAAATAGATACACATAAAATATCACCCTGGACTACAAAACCATCCTTAAGTTGCACAGTTTTTTTTGGCCTTAGCCGAAAAGAGTGTGGGTTAACATTTTATATTATAGTTTTATGCTAAAAACCACTTTATTTTCAATTCAAGATCATGTTGTATTAATACATTTAGTAAAATGTTTACTGAAAATATATGAAAACATATATTGCGTGGAGCTAAATTTTTACAACTTTAAAAGTGATTTTTACAATGTTTACAATTTTTAAACCCTCCCAGGTTTTTAAATATTTGTATGTCAGCCATTCATTGTTCTGTACAGTGGCCGAGAGAGCTTAACGTGCTGCAATTTAAGAAAACATGTGCAAATACAAAAAACAGCATCAAATTGAGAAAAGATTTTCATCTGCTTGACAGCACACGTGCAACACAAACACATTTTTAAAAAACTATCTGCATTTTCTCACAACGCAAACAAATTAATAAAACGTGCTGCATTTTCTCACAACACAAACAATATGCGAAAACACACTGCATTTTCTCACAACACTTTCAAATAACACAAAACACAGCGGAAATGTTTCAAGGAGACCCTTATAAAACATGTTAAATGTTGAATGTTAAAATGTTGATGTTAAAATAAACAAACAAAAACTCACTTTTCAAAGATCACCTACAACTTCATTGAGCAATAGTCACAGCACATCGGCGTCCGTTACGTTTTTGGGTCCACTTGAAACATTTCTGTTGTATTCCCTTGTTTTTGTGTTGGGAAAAAAATGCAGCACGTTTTCGTAAATTGTTTGTGTTGTGACAAAATGCAGCACGTTTTATTTAGTTGTTTGTGTTGTGGGAAAATGCAGCACATTTTTATGTGTATGTGTTGTGAGGATTAGCAGCATCTGTACTGTCAAACAGATCAAGATCTGCAACACGTTAAGTTCTCTTAGCCACCGTAGTCCTCTTCTAACAATCCATACATCAATGGAAACTAAATAAATGGTGGCTCAGTGCTAAGCACTGCCTCCTCACAGCAAGAAGGTTGCTGGTTCAAGTCTCAGCTGGACCAGTTGGCATGTTCTCCCTGTGTTTGTGTGGGTTTCCTCTGGGTGCTCCGGTTTCCCCCCACTCCAAAGACATGCGCTATAGGTGTATTGAATAAGCTAAATTGGCCATAGTGTATGCATATGTGTGTAAATGGGTGTTTCCCAGTACTGGGGCATCCTCTGTGTTAAACGTATTCCAGAATAGTTGACGGTTCATTCCGCTGTAGCAACCCCTGATAAATCAGGGACTAAGTTGAAGGAAAATGAATAAATGAATGAATGAATGAATGAATGAATGAATGAATGAATGAATGAATGAATGAATGAATGAATGAAAACCCATCATGTCAGAAAATGTATGAACATCTTGATCAAGGATGACAACAAAAACATGAGAAGAATCAGCATTAAATCTAATTCAATCTAAAAATTCAATCAGCAGGTGTAATTTGAAATCTGAATGTTATTCTCTCACTGCCTTGCTTGTGAAATAATTTTGAGTTTGATCATTTCCAATTCATCTGTAGCTGACGGTGAGCAGAATTGTATCTAAAGATGGCAGACACAGTATCCAGTGTAGAAACTCACTATAGGTTTTTGGAAGAAAGCCACAGAATCACATCTGCATGTACAAAGATTTACAGCATCATCTCATTGTGTTGGCTAAAGACTGAATACATCATCTGGATGTTCTTCCACGCGGGGCTGGATGTTGTAAAATGGCTTTGTGTTCACCTGTTGTATGATTGGTGGGCAATAAATCCCTGTAGAGAATCAATATTGGTCGGAGCAAAGCTTTATAAGACACACTTTTCCCCGTAAACACCCTTAATCAAGAGCAGACGCAAAATCAACAAGCCGACAATCTCCCGGACTCCCACACACATAAGAGTGCATAGACGCACATACACTGGAAAAGTGGGACAGCAGCTTGATTAATGTTGCGGAATACTAACAGATTACATTTGATAAATGAGGTATGGGAGGTGAGCCATTTAAAGGACTCTCCACTGCGGCGTTAAAGATATCTACTGTTCCCAGATCAGATCAATACAGAGCAGGAGCGTTATCACAGGCTCGGCAAATGCCCCGTTCATTATGTCAGCAGAGCTTTTCGCGTGAAAGTAATCATGGGACGTATTCGATACACCCGGCGGATTGGATTTTATAATGATATTGTGGCGCTCCATATCTGGAGAATTCCCCGGGTTGTTTGTACGGAGATAATAAATGTCCTTTGATTTATAAAAGATCCATGTGTCAAAGATAGCTTAGTGCTTTCTGGCCCACACAGACTCAGACATGTATGGTGTGATCAAAGAATACGTGGAAGCAGAATAACAATTAGCTTTGAGCGGCTGATTTTATGCCTTGAGATGATGACTGCGTTCAGAGGCAGCTGACTTCCATCTCTACGTTGAGTCACTTTTTGCAGTCTCAAATGTGAAAGCCAAAGAAGCGAAGGTTTCCTTATTTTAGAAAAATAAAAATAAAGAGATCATTTAACATTAAGGAGATCATCCAGAGGGGGAGAAAATGCTGTCATCATTTGATCGTCTTCAAGTCGTAGAACTGTGTTTTTCTTCCTGCTGCATGTGATATCATTGTGCTTGTAGTTTGATGTGCTTAGAAGTTTTCAACGACAATCAGGTGGTACACTGACAAAAATGGTTCATCGCAAACTGTTGCAAACAATTTATATAAGCTGAATTAAAAGAAACAAATTATGTTGAACATTACTAAATTTAATTTGTTTGTTAAAACTCTGCACCAATCCGCATGTCAATCTCACATTCCATCCTTAGATACATCCCCCTAGATACTTGAACTCCTCCACCTTAGATATAGGCTTTCCTCCATCCTGGTGCAGCGGCAGCAGTACTGTGTGCGATGTACCTGTCTGTGGTGGTAAAGAAGAAGCTGAGCCGAAAGGCAAAGCTCTCGATTTACCTGTCAATCTACATTCCTACTCTCACCTATGGTCATCATGAGCTTTGGGTCATGACCGAAAGGACAAGTTATTGAAGTCCTTGGGGAAGGACGTGGGGAAGAGGGAAGTCTGAGGTTTTCTACTAAGACTCCCACATAGCAACATTTCTTTGACCCAGTTCTGGCCCACACAACCAGCTTTTGGTGGGCCCGCCTGCCGCAATGAATTACTGTACATGACTGGACCAAGTCTGGTTTTCATACAAAGGCCAAACATGGGCCATATCTGGGCCTAGTCTCAGCCAAGTTAATAACCCATAACTCGACCTGAACTGAGCCAGCTCTGGCCCATGTTTGGCCATAGTCTGGAAGCGTGGGGGGTGTACTCAAATATGCTGAGCATTACAAATAGTTCACAACCACTTAACTTAAAACATTTTAGTAAATCCAATGAATCATTTTTTTTTTCAGTGTACTGTAGTACAAGCTTTTCTATACTCAGATTGTATTCTACTGTTTAATCACCTTGGATAAAAAAAAAATGATTAATTTAGTTGATTTTATGGACATTAAGTTAGAAATGCACTCAAGAAACACAGAATTCAAATTTAAGGGGATTTAAGTAAAATGCTGGTAAATTCCTCACCCTTGGACCATTCAAGATCACTTTCCTAATTCATTAAAGAAGATTTTTAGATGAAGCGTTGGCCCTTGATGACTCATAAAATACAACAGCTTGGGGTGGCCATTGGTCTTTAAAAAGTCTTAAAATTATTTTAAGACCTTAAAAAGTGTTAAAAAGTCTTGAGGTCCAGTTCAATACAGTGTCTAAAATTTGCTGGTCAGGTTACC